TAAAAACTATATTTTAGGAAATAGTTTATTGTAATTATTGAGAAATTAATATGCAAATGAAATTGTGAATTGAAAAAGCAATTACAAAAAAAGAATTAATAAGTTTTGAATAATTATTTAATCTTATAATTATTTAAATATGCAAAGGAATAACATTTTTTATTTAAAATAATTTAAAATACAAATTTAAATTTTTTCAAAAAGTATAAGTAATTATATTTCTGTGCTAAAATAATATATAAATTTGCAATGTGTAAATATATATACACATACTTTCACATATTTACTGCATTCTTTATACTTTGATATATTAAACATGCCAATGTTTTATATATTTTTATATTTTAAACAAATTGAAAATCTTTGGACATTAATAAAGGCTGATAAAATTGATTAGTTGTTATTGCAAATTATATAAAAAATATAATTGAACTGTTATAATTGAACTGCAATTGCAAATTATCGCTGATCTACATTTGTAATTTTTATATGAAGATTTATTAAATCAAATATGATTAATTGTGCCCATCTTTGTCCAATCTTTTTTTTTTTCTTTTGACATGAGGTTTTTTCTTTCTCTTTTTTTTCCCATCGTATCAGTTTTTTTTTCTGTGGACATATCATAAGAATTTACTTAAACACCTTAGCTGCATGATAGTGAAATGCGTGTTCATAGAAATATGTAAGTTTTGTGTAACCTATAATTAAGATATGCACAAAAACTTACAATATTCAGTGTTACAGTTCCATACATGGCCATACTTTATAATATAAGTGAATTGAATAAATCGTATTATAAAATAAATATATTACACAAAATATTCTAGAACAATTAGAGAAGCATTGTATAATTATAGTTATAAATTAAAGTATTGAAATACAAAATTATATTTATATATATATTAAACATATTGTTAATATAAGTGCCTTCTTTTTTAATAATATTTAAAATATGGCCAGATATTAAGAATGAAAACAAATGTTTCCTAAGAAGTATAGCATAAAATATAGCATTTCCTAAGAAAGCTAATGTATCTAGATATAAATTTTGTAATATCCACTGTAAAAAATTGATGGATACTCTTTTTAATATTTTTAATTTTAGATTGTTAACATCATAAATTTACAAGATGGATTATATAGATACATCAGAATATTAAAAAAAAAAAATCTAATATATACATAAAATAATTGTCACTGAAAAAATACATTGATTCAGGAATGGCTAGTGAATATTATATATATTTATTTTATTCTTTCATTTATCTTAGTATTTATAATTCTGTAATATAATATAATATTATTCTAAATATTTATTATTTCACCAGCTTTTCCTATAAATGCATATATATATATAATATATATTTTGATTGTTCAAACATAAAGATGCCCAATTTTATAGTATAAATATAAAATGTAGTAGAAATATTTTTGTTTAATATACATGATTAATTATATATATATAAAAATTTAATATAATTAATAATATTCGATATTTTATGTTTGAATAATCAAAAAAAATCATAAATTACAAGTATAAAAACTTACCTCAATTGTAAAATTCCAATACAATATATTAAAACGGTCAATACGGCATATAATATCCTCGTCTGTAGCTCCTATGCAAAAAACATTATTGAAAAAAATATTTGAAATTATTGAAAATATAAATAAATATTTAATTTTACAATATACCTAGGTCGCCTTATAGGTCTATATCCAAAATATGCACTACCACGTATGATTCCTCTGGCTATACCTCGGTAGCCTCGTGTTCCTCGTGGTCCCCTATAAATTATTTAAATATATTATATGTAAATAAAGTAAAAATATATATATGTATAGATATAAAATAATATATATATATATATATATATATATATATATTTAAAAAATAATATATATTTTTAAGCACCTATTTGTCACTGACAGTCCAGGTCTATTTGTTCTTTTAGGCATTACTTTAATTTGACGTCCTCTAAACATAGATTCATCCATAGCCATAGCTGTTTGTACAGAATCACGTTCTGCAAATTCTATATAAGCAAAACCTTTGGGATGTCCATCAAATTTATTGCACAATATTGTTACTCTATTAACACTGCCACAGCCATGAAAATGTTGTTCTAATTCTTCTGCTGTAGCGCCATAATCAACCTTTTATATAAAAAGTGAATATTAATTTATTATTATATATAATTTATTATTTATAATATATAAATATTCCTTGAATGAAATAAAATATATATAAATATATATAAAATATAGTTTTACTTACATTACCAACATAAATGGATCTATTATCAACTTCCATTTTGTCTTCAAGTGACATATTTAATGGACTTGCTAAAAATTTAAGAAAATATAGAATAATCTTTCTTATAAAAAAAATTATGAAAATTATGAAAATTTGTAAAACTTTTAGTTATATATTGAAATTAATATAATCTACAACTTACTTATTCCAGGTGGACTACCCATATTCATTTGTTTGTCCACTTCAGATTGTAATTGTTTTAATTTTTCTGCTTCTTCTTCCATTTCTCTAACACGTGCTTTAATAGCTTCTAATTCCTATAATACAATAGAAAAATTTTATATAAAAAAAATATAAATTATATTTCAATCAGGAAAACAGTTAAGAAATTATATAATAACAAATATTTATTTATAACAAAATACCGGATCATCGATATTTGCTTCATTTAATTCACGTTTTACACCATCACATTGCATAATGGCATCTCCATCTTGACCATTTTCAAGTCCATCTAGACCATCAATGTGATCAGCAGCTAAAAGATCCGATTCAGACATTTCTGTAATAAATATATTACTATTATTAATAATATATGAAATATATAAGTTATATAAGATATTGAAGATATAAAATATATATAAAATAATTAATATAATATAATAACAAAAATATTATAATGAAGGGCAAAATATATTTTCTTAATTTAAATTAAAATTAATCAAATAAAATTATAAAAATAATAGTCATCATTAAAAAAAAACAATAAATAAAATATTCTATCATGCAAAATAATATATGTAAATTAATCAAAAAACAATTATAAATTAAAAGCGTAAATTATTACATTCATAATAGCTAAAGATTATTTAATTTAATAATAATATATTATTTAAATTATTTTTAATATTATAGATACAATATGAATATAATATAATAATATGATTCACTTTTTCTTTTTATTCTCTCTATTTAAATTATTATAATTATAATATTTATATTTATGTATTTATGTATATAATTATGTATTTTTAATGTTATATATATATATGTAATATACATATGTAAATAAATAAAAATAATTTAAAAAATAATATAAAATTATTAGCAATAATGCACAATGTAATAAATTATATATTTGTAATTTTTAGGACATATAAATATTTTTAGTATTAATTACTATTAATTATATAAAAAATATAACGTACGTGTATACCTTCGGACGTTTTTATTATTTAAAATAATAATTTTATGATAAATTTAATAATTATATATCTTTAATCAACACTTCACAATTCTACAAACTCGATAAACGAGATTGACGCTACTACTGAATGAGACGAACAAAAATTTGAGGTTTACATAAATTAGAAAATCGCCTTAATATGTATTTCATTTATGATTGGTTATAACGAAATTTAAAAATTTAATATTATTGGTCATTTAAAAAAACAATAGATTTTCGCGTACATGAAAATTTTATTATTATATAAAATTTTTTTCGAAAATATTAAAATTTTGAAAGAAACAATAAAGTATTATATTATATATAAAATAATTTCTATTAATCTTTTCATATAAGAAATAATTTTTTTCATATTTACATATTAATATATTATAACATTAATATATTATAACATTTTTTTATTACGAGCATAAATATGATTAAACAGTATTAGATATGATATCATAGTAGATATGATTATAATTTTTATACTTTATCAAAAAGAATTATATATTAGATATATGTAATTTATAAAATTCTTATTATATTAACATTTAGTAATTCATTTAAAATTGTAATATGATAATAATGAATTTTATGCATTAAAAATGTGTGAAAAAAATTATAAACCGAAAATAATTGTCTTTGATTTAGGTTAAAAATTTTTTTGTTTTATTTTTAATTAATTTCTTTAAAAAAAAATATTATTTATTTTTATTTTTTATTTATTAAAGAATAAATGTAATTTAATTATATTTCAGATTATACTTTATGGCCATTTTGGATTGATACTCATGTTAATCCTCCTTTTAAAAAGTAAGTTTTAAAGAAATAATTTTTAACATTATTTTATAATTGTTCAATAAAAATTTCTATCAATTTTTTTTTAAAATTAAGGAAAGGCAATGATGTAATAGATTCGCATGGTCAAATTATAAAATATTATAAAGAAGTACCCGATGTTTTAAAATATTTATATGAAGAAGGATATGAACTTGGTATTGCATCTCGTACTTCAGAAATACAAGGTGCTAAACAATTATTAAATTTATTTAACTGGGATAATTATTTCAAATATAAAGAAATTTATCCAGGAAGTAAAGTAACTCATTTCTCTAGGTAAATTTTAATAAAGTTTTACTAAAAATTATTAATTCTTATTCTAGATAACTTTATTTTCATTTTTTATAATAACAATATTTGATAAATATTTATATAATTTATTTTTTTTAGGATTCAAAAAATATCAGAAACTGATTATAAAGATATGATATTTTTTGATGACGAATATAGAAATATTAAGGATATAGAAAAACTTGGTGTTACTTGTATATATGTTAAAAATGGTGTAAATTATACACTTGTAGAAAATAGTCTTAAAAATGTTTGATATTTATAATTTTTTAATTAAATCTATGTAGAAAATAAAATTTTATTTTTAACTTGTATTGCATTAGATTTAAGGAAAATAAATATTAAAAATATTTATTATTTCTAAATTGTTAATGTTTTATATATTTAAATTTGATTTATCATTTTGAAATAATATTGTAGAGGACTACTAATAATAATATTATTTTTACTTCTTTGATTTAATATTTTAAAGAATTCAGCACAAGCAGTTTGAGGATTTTGAGAAGATAGAGTGTTCAATACTTTTGTTATATGATCATTTGATAATGATAAACATAAGAGATTTTTTAATATATTTATATCAAAATTTTTAAATGGACATCCTCCTTCATATATGGGATTTGATGCACTCATCTAATAACATAAGAAAAAGATGAATTTGAAAATACAAAAATTTTATAATATAGAAAATATTACTTACACACATCATTTCACAAGTAGGTGACTTATAATTTCTTTTGGATCCTTCTAAACCATAAAAATGTCGAATATTGTATATAAATTTTTGTTCATTCATTTGCCAATTATGTGAACAAGTAGAAGAACAGGTATGAGGTTTGGAATATTCTTCTTTCCAATAATTTATAGCATCTTCTAACTGCATTCCACCATCTTTTAAAAACAGACTATAATATAAACGAGCATAATGACTAAGTCTATGTGTTTTTCTTAATTTTATATGCAAATGTTGCATACAAAGTGGGAAATTTTTTACTTCTTTATCTATATTTTCTTTAGTTATATATCTATATTTTATTGATATTTGACAATTTTCTTTAAATACTTTAGAATGAATTTTATAATATAAGTAATTAAGTCTAGTATCTTGATTTATTATATATTGTGCTTTTGTTTTCATACATATTACTTGCTTGGTTATATAAGTACAAAATAATGATTTTAATAATTTTTTCCATTTGGAGCAATATATAGTAACATATCCATCATTCAAATTTAGTTTTCGTTTTGTTATTAAATCTGGTACTATTTCAAATCGTACTTGAAAAAAAAGTTAATATAATTTTTAAATAATTAAATTATTAAAAATTAATTGATTTATCCATATTTAGATACAAATATATACCTTTAATTTTGTAAAGATTACAATTTTTTGTATGATTTTTTGATACAAGATGTTTAAAGACAAGTGGTTTTAAAAAAAAAATACATATGTCGTTTAATGTTTTATTAATTAATTTTTTTTTGTCTGTGAATTCTCCCAATTGACATAAAATGTTCTTAAATAATTTATGTAATTGTCTAGGTAAAATATAATTTAATCTAGTTTTAAATAATAATATTTCTTTCGCAATCCAATAATTATATAGTTTTCCTGACACAGATGCCAATAATCTAAAACAGTTATTTATACGATACAATAAAATCGATAAATCAAATTAAAAAAATATTGTAAATTGACATATTAAAAACTTTGATAATTATTATAGTCATTCAAATAAAACTTACCGTAATATAAAATGTCCGATTTTATCATATGCTGAATTTTCTAATAAATATTCAAAATTACCATTAAATTCGTGACTTTTATTCTCGTATAATAATTGTAAATATTCTAACCTATCCAAAACGCACTTTTCTAAAATATGAAATGATATTTGTCCTGTAGGAGCTTTAATATAAAACATTTTGAATAAATAATATTTTCAAGAATGATCATTTTCTGAATATTATTAAAAATCTTATACTCTTTTTAACGATTAATAACATGTAACATTATTATATTATGTTTATCCGTAATAATAATTATCTTTACATAGTGAATTTTAATATATTCAGATAAATTGTATAGTTATACGAATTTTATATTTTATATATATCATTCCTGAAATACATTTATTAAAATTTATTGGTTATAGAAAACTAAAAATTTCATAAAATTTTGATAATAAAAAAATAACTTTTTGTGTTATCTGTATTTTTATAAAGAGTTAAAAGATTAAAAATGAATACATAATCGTATATAAATTAGAAGTTGTGATGTGTGATTTTATATTAAAATATATATATATATATAATATATATATAATAATATAATAATATAATAATTTATTAATATAATGTATATTTACAATTTAAAAAATTCTTAATTGCTTGTTTTATGATTTATAATTTTCGAAGTATAATTTCCTAAGTTTTTAGTATATATAATAAAAATATCATATGAATTTTGAAAACTTTTTTTTTAAATATTCATAAATTTTATTATATTTTAAAAAAATTTTGAATATTTTTATTTTTTTATAATTTTATTTTGATTGATTTGAAATGAAGTTTTGAATGAAAGTAGTATTTTTTTATGTAAATGTCTTTTAATTAAATTGTAAGACAAAAAGTTAATATATAGTTAATATTTATTACATTTGTATATATAATTATATTAATTCGTATACATGAATATAATTATATACTATCTCGTAAAAAAATTTTGTACTTTGAGATATAATGCATTTTTTATCTATATCTTGGAAAAAAATCGATATTTATACCTTTATTTACATTAAAGATTAAAACATTGAAGTTTTGAAAAAAAAATAAAAATATTTTGTATATGTATATTGTATATAATTTTATGGCAAGAGTAAATAAAAATAAAAAGAATAAATAATGAAAAAAAGATAAAAATAAAAATTGTGAAAATCTTCAAAATGTCGCAAATGAAATTCAAATATGGAAACAAAAAAAAAAGAAATAATTGAAGAATAAAAGTAGAATTGGTTATTAACGCCATTTTGAATGCTAAAGATATCTTTTTAAAGGTAAGATAATATATAGAATAAGAATTGAAAATCAATGCCATCTTTTGAATCCTTTTAGAAAGATGATTATTTAAATAGATGACTGATATTCAAAAGATGGTGTTGATAATGACTATTTCCAAATTTTTAATTCTTATCTTATTTTTATTTTTGTTTCGTTATTTCTTCTTTATTTGTGTTTCATTTGTGACATTTTGAAGATGATGCTCTCAACAATTTTTATTGAATTTCTAACTTTTCAATTCTATTATTTATTCTTCTCATCATTATATTTATATTTTATTTATAGTATTCTGAAGATGATTTCCGAATTTTCATCCTATTTTTGTCCTTTTCCCTATTTATATTTCTTGTCTATATTTATTTGCTTTGCAAAATTTATATGTCTAAAAGATGGCTCTGATATCAAATTAATTTTATTATCTTTTAAAATAAAAAATATAAAAATATATATAAAAATTTAGAAATTATGACATATAAAAATGATATGTATATATTATATATAATATTATTATAATTATAGAAATTATAGAAATTATAGAAATACTTTATTAAAAATAAAACAATCAGATCCATTTTCAGAGACAAATTCTTAAATTCAAACTTTACTTATTTATTTATTTATTTATCTTATAATTTGAAAAAATTCAACTAGAATTAATACATTGATATAAATTGTCTTTCAACATTTAATAATATTATTTGATAATATTAAAAAATTTTTAATAATTTATCAAACAATCTAGAAATTTTTATTTATATATGTTTGCTTAATATAAGGAAGGAAAAATAAGAACTTCATTAAATCACAGAATTTTCATTGAAATGTGTAATATTGTTTCGTTTGACTGTTCGATACAAATAGATTTTATCGTTGTGCTTCTTGCGACTTTCTGCTACTTGAACTTACAACATGTAATTTCTCTTTTATCGAGACATACATATAAGATATACGAATAGAATTATCTTGCGCAAGACTTAGATTACTGTCAATAATGTTTAAGTAATAATTCGCAGACAGATAGAAATAGAAATAATAATATATAATCAATAATCAATAATCAATAATTTGATTTCATTCATAATATGGAATTATAATAGACAAGAAATCAAAAAAATATTACGTTAAATGTCAAAACATTTATTTTTTAAGGCGTGAACAGTTCAATTTTAATTCAGTTTCAATTTTTTTTTCATTTTTTAATTAAATAATTTAGAAAAACATGTTTTCCGTATGTCCATGCTTTTTTTGTAAAAGATTTATTTTAGTTATTATAAAGTGTCATAAATGACTAGTTCTATACCATAATATTGTATAGGGTTTTTCAAAAACCAAAATATTTTTTTCTAAAATTCCTCGCCAATATTTTTATCGTATATTAATATAAAATAATATATATTTTTGCAATTTATTGTTAATTCATTTAACATATTTAATAAATAATTTAAATAATAATAGATTAAAATCTTATGATCTTATTTGATCAAATATCATAAATAATTTTAAGAATATTTATTATATCATTGTTCGTATTATGTTTATATAATTTGTTAAAAATTTACAAATAAATAAAATAATTATTTTCTTTTCTTTCTTTTTTTTTTTATATATGATATATAATAATTATATTCTTTCATTTGGAATTTCAGAACAAATATGGAATGAAGTACCCTATACACATATGTGGTTATTGAGTAACATGTATACTTTTATGATTTGTCCCTTAAATTGTCACCTGTATAATACAAATAATTCCTAGATCGTTGTACATTGGTATATTACCAGTTCTCCAGTGAAATTTAATTACATTTTTTTCGCTCGCTTTCTTATCGTTAATTAAAATGTATTATATATATATATATATATATATATAATAAATACCTATATATATAATTTCCCTTTACATAGTCTACTTATATATATATCAATTTTATTTAAGCTTTATTAGCCATAGACAATCTGCTTAATATTTACAAAGATTAGATACAAAATTATAAACAGTTCTTAGTACAAAATAATTTTATGACTATAACGATTAAGGTTTAATAGCGTTAGAGCAGGCCTAGGCAACCTTTCACGGCCTATTAGCAGATTTTCTCTTCTTTTCCCACTTTCTCTTTTTTCTTGCTTTTTTTTTCTTTAATTAATTAATAATAATAATTATTCGAATGATAGTTTTAGTTTTTTTGCCAGATTTCTAGATTATGATATTTACAGATTCTGTAATATTAGATTTAATTTTTTTTTTTACGAAAAATGTTCAATTGTCAAGAACATCGATCAATATTAGTAGATTGTTTGAATGCTAACCGATGACAAACATTATCTATCGAGTATTCGTAACAATTTCTTCGTTAATTTTTTTCGACAAAAAATTAAACAAATTGAATTACTTTGTCAAAATAAAACTACAAGAAATAGATTAAAGTTGATGGAAAGTTATTTTTTAAGCGCCATAATTTATGTATGATTTGTACGATAATATAATAATTTTTCGTGGTATTTCTGTCTTTTTTTTTTTTTCTATTAATTGATCGTTCAAAATTATTGTCTCACGAAGAGAAAAACGCAAAACAAAAATAGAGAACTGAATGTTGATTGAAATGACAATATGCTCTAGTGAAAAAGCCAGAGATTGCCTGTGCCTGAATAGAAGTTACAGTTAGGTGAGCTCTGCACAGTCTTCCGTGATTACCTCTACATTTCTCTCAATTCCACATCAGATTAACAATGGGGATGTATCGGGAATCTAATTGAATAAAAACCACAGTTAATAATGTAATTTAATCATTGTGAAATTACTAAAAAAAATTCTTTTAAAAAAATCAAATAGAAAAAAGTTTGTTTTACATGATGGAATTTGATAATTTATTTTTGTCAATGAAATTTTTTAGATTTATCGTAAAATAAAGAATTTATAATTATATATGTAAAATTGTAACTACATATAATAAAGTTGAATAATTTAATAAATATCTAAACATAGATTTGAAAATTAACTTTAATTATCAATATTAAATTTAGTTTTCTGTTTCAATGCACTATAAATAATCTGTATTGATCAAATATTTTTTTTCTGCAAATAATGGATATATATTCATAAAATACTGAATTCCTTCTTTAAATATTTTTTATAGAGAGAGAATTAGATTGAATTAGATCGTTTTATACGTACAGGGACTTATTTCATCAATGGAATCTATTTTAATGTCATACCATAAATTAAATATTAAAGAATTTCCATTCGATCTATTTAATCTTGTCTTCGAGTTATTATTAAATACTATTTTTATACGTTCGATAATTTCGTGTACGTGTATATCTAGATTGATTTGATCTAATAAAAATGATTATTTTTCTCGTAAACAAATTTCAGACTAAAACATTTTATATAGATATGCTTATAATCTTAATATAATTAATATAAACGTGTCATTTGAATACTAGGATAAGAAAAGTAATTATTCGGATACTGGATTAAATAGAATTTGTTTTTTTAATACTTAATTCATTATCAACAATGAAAAAGTATTCTGCAGAAATCTTTTGCTATTTCGTACCATGCAAAACGTACTTGAATAGACGAATTGAGAAAAATGCAAATAAATACTTTTGTCTAATATGCAAAGTCTAATATAGAATTCTTCGTAAACGATTACAGTGAAAAATTGGAACGAAACGGCAATTTCACTGTTCACGTGATTCTCTTCTCATTGTCAATGCTATTTGCAATAGCATCAACATGGAAGATTGAACGATCCCGGGAAGCCTTGTGACTTAAACGTGATTGTCGATCGTACATTTATTCACACACACACAAAAAAAAAAAAAAGAAAAGAAAATAAAAGAAAAACAAAATTTTTTATATAAGAAAATTCGACCGATTCGACCGATTTTTATTCATCCCGTTAATTGGGATCGTCGAAATCAACGTAGAGCTCACGAACCAAAACGATGTTCATGAAACATTAAGTTTGTCGAAACGAGTGTTCTTTAAGCGATCCATTTAATAATGATGAAGAATATCCACTGACAGAGAATATCTTTTCGAAATGGCAAAGAGATCTATTTTTAAAAATCAAAGAAGTTAAAATTCGTTGCAAACTGTATTATTAAAATAACTTTCAATTAATTTTCATCTATTCGGATTATCCTTGTTTTTCGTTTGGATTCGTTTTTTTTTTAAACGTTTTTCTTCGTTTTTTCTTTTTTTTTTTTTTTTTTTTTTTTTTTTTTCATTGAATTTTATTTAATACATCAGAATGAAATTTACGTAATTTTTTATTTTACAAAAAAATTTATTACTATTAATTTTAAATTTCTATCGACAAAGATATGTTCTCAGTCAGTCGATAAAATTGAGATAGAACGTAATATAAGATAAATAAATTTCTTTACTACTGAGATTTCCGAACCGGTGTAGGTACAGGTAGGTACGCAGAGATATACTAAATTATCACATGAGTAGACAAGTGAGTTACTCGTTAGCAGTAAGGGGCAACGATACAGCCAAAGGCAGCAATATGCTTATTTCGATGAATCTAAACGCAACTATGATTCGTTTTTCTAATGTCACGCGTTAGTGACGGCAGTTTCCTTTCAATTTTTTCTTCTTTTTTTTTTTTCTTTCTTTTTTCCTTTTTTTTTTTTTTTTTTTCTTTCATTTCTTTAACGCTAATGAAGTGACAACTATGAACTCGTGTGAATTTCTATTTTAACAAGGTGCCTGATCTCGGTATAAAATTCTATATCGTTAAATCGTTCTACGTTATCAATAGAATAGTATCTTTTTTTTTTTTTCCTCCTTTTTAATATTTTATCTTTCTTCGTTCGAATCGGTAACTTTATAAATCACGCCGACTTGAATTTATATTTATCGATTATCTCGCCTTCGTTCTATCTTTACCCTTTTCCCATTTTTTTCTTCCTCTCTTCTTCCTCTTTTTCTCTCCCTGCACCTTTCCCTCCCTCGCCCATTTATTCAACGACAGAGAAGCGAATTTTTGTTACGTTTAAATTCAACGCACGTACGATTTATATACGAATGGCTATGTCTCTGATATATCTACTTCTTACGCGGCATTACATTAAGATATATAAATAGTATTTTTAATGTTATAACGGTAACATCACCTACTTACTAAATATTGCGAATGCTATTAATAGTATTCATCTGATATAAATACATGGAACATAACGAATCGAATGATTAATTAGTTGAAAAATGTCGTGAGAGATAGCATCGCTGAACGAACATTTGACTTGGAAATCTTGCAAACTCGTCGTTTTTTTTCCTCTTTATTTCTTCTTTTCCTTTTNTTTTTTTTTTTTTTTTTCCCCTCGTTCGTTCGCGTTTCTCGCCCTCGTCCCAAAAATAGAAACGAAGGCTCGGATATGTTGATAACGTTCCAGACGATCGCGCCAAAAAGATTCTGTTCCATCCCTGGAACAACCACTAATTTCCGTTGGCCTACCAACGAAATCGTGTCCGTAGAAGAGGCAAAAAGGAACACGATTTTTAAAGACGATAAAGATAAGTTGCGAATTGCTTGCTCGTCGCTGCTAATCTCGTTCGCGTTAACGCATTAATGATAAATGTCTCTCTTACCTCTCGATGTGTACGTCTATATGTACAATATACTAGTTCTTTTCTTTATCTTTGTATTGATCCCGCCTATCATATATAAAGTTACAATTATGATGTGTCATAGTCACGGTGCGAGCCACCATTTTATTCAACAGAGAAATATGTATACCGTTTTCCATTCGCGAATTACACGTTATCGCCGAGCTCTCACGCGAACGTTGAATTTATTCGATTTTACATTTTTTTTTTTGTTCTCTTTGAAAAGGATGTATTGACAATTTAACTTTAATAAATCTTATTCTAATTTCAGCGCGATTCGATGGTCAATACGCAAGTCAAGAAAATGATACCTGTGACGAATCTCTTTCTCGTGTTGTATGCGATGAGAGCTCTATCGTGTAGTACGAGTTACACGAGAAATTCGACAGTCTTGCTTCGACAATCTGTCGGATTCGTTCGAAGCGAAAAGCCTAACCGATAAATTTACGCACGATGAATTGTAACCATTTACACGTTCACAAACACACGCATTCACACATCTTCTCATATAATTTGTTTTTCCCTTTTTTTTCTCTTTTTTTTTCTTTTTTTGCTCCTTTTCTTTACTCGATTAGCAACTCACGAAGCGAGTTTGATATTTAGTTACCGTATTGCCATACGTCGATGCAATGCTTTTTCCCCGTTTTTCCTTCCTTCTTTTCTCTTCCTTTCCTTTATTTCTTATTTTTCTTCTCTTATTGTTCCGTTATAAAAGAAAGACATCATTATCTCGGAAGGTAACTTTTAAAATCTTAAACGAGTATCCCTTATTTACCTCGAAGATAATAAACGTATCTTTAAATCCATGCAGGAATGTTCACAGCTGTATTATAATTACACGATATTGCTCCTAAATTTTCGACGATCATATCGAGGATCCACGAGATCCAACGCGCGAAATTGGCGCGAAACTTGGCGCGAATTAGTAAATTTCCTTTTGAACAAAAAAAGGTCACCTCCGCGCTCTCTTCGATTGTCGGATTCACAGTTTTATTGTTTTCCTTACGTCTAAATCCTCGTTGAATATTTCTCCGCGATCGAGATCGTTGCGTCACGATCTCCCTCCCTCCCTCACTTACCTACTAAGCAAATCACCATATTTTCACGAATCTCGGATAGCTTCCTACTATATCGACACGGGCAGATTCACGTCCGCCATCCCTGAAAATCGTTTCATCAAGTTTATTTCACTTTCAGTTCCTAATTGAATAAATCTCACGTATCGAAATCGCTCGAAATGATATTATCTCGCGGGGGAGAGAAAAAAAAAAAAAAAANNNAAAAAAAAAAAAAAAAACCGAAGCGAATCCGAAGAGTTCGATTTCGTTGCCGGAAACCAATATTGGACCGTATCGTTGTATTCCCTTCTTCTTCGAATGTGCTTACACCTTTTTCGATCGCTCGAAATCATTCCGAGGTTTCGAGGGAAATGGCTGTCGAAGAATTCAGAACTTGGTTCTCACGGTTATCCAATGCGGGTAAACGGCATCCTCGACCATCTCGTGGTCGAAGTATGAACGACGTTTAGCCGGGCACACGTGGCAACCGCCACAAACCGTGTGCTCCTCGACCTTGCCAAACGTTCAATATCAGGATGTGGGCGCGTAACCGAGGTTCTTCCGCTGCAGGAACATCGAGATCTCCCGGAAGGTTGGCCTCTCGCTCTCCTCCCGCCGCCAACAGTCGAGCATCAAATCGTAAATATCCTTGGAGCACGCGGTCGGCTGCGGTAAATAGGTGAAAAGGTTATCGGTATTCTCCTTGCATCCGCTGCTCTCCGCATCGGTGTCGGTGGCGCAATCGGCCCGATGCAATCGTCGCAGGCTCTGCACCACTTCCTCGTTCGACAAGTGCTCGTAAGGGATCCGTCTGCCAAGGTTCAGGATCTCCCACAAGGTCACGGCGAACGCCCACACGTCGCTCTTCGTCGTGTACTTGCCCTGCGAAGATCGTATCGATTATATCGGATCCTAGCTTCTAAATAGTTGACGTTTGACAGAATGAATGGTTTTTTTGAATTCATTGAATCGGTGAATTTATTGATTCGGTTGGAACAGGTAAAAAAAAAAAAAAAAAAAAAAAAAATAGCAAAAGTGACGAATTTAATTTTTACGATAGAACTGCGGATGTCTATGCATTCATTGGTGAACTTAAAGAATACGAGAATCTTTGAAAATAATTTATCTGTAATTCCACGATTCGATGAGAAGAAACTACGTGTAAATTGCACGATTGTTACGTCAATTGATTTTCAACGGCGTACGAATTTGATTAAAATTGTTTGAGTATCAATTATAGAATTTGTTACGCAAATTGGAGAACAAGAGGACACTTGTGTATCACGTTTAATTCAGTATTGGAATAAAGCTTACCAGGAATATGGATTCCCAGGCCATCCAGCGTATCGGCAGTGGCACCGTGCCATCGACTTTGTAATAATCGCTCGCGTACAATTCGTTGTCCGTACCGAAATCCGAGATTTTAATGTGATAAGCTTTGCCCACCAAGCAATTCCTGTAATCGAAAATCATCGTTATCGACCACCAATCCGACGAATCGATCTTCGCGTTTCGCTCCTACCAATCCATTTAATTAACTTCCTATGCAATCCATTTAATTAACTTCCGAACCTTCCTACGAACCGAATCATTCATCGTTATCATTACCTTTCTATTCTAATTCATCCACGATTAATTCGTGTTAAATTTCGTTTTCGTCGGGAAAAACGAACGGATTCTCGTTCTCGTTTCTTCGGCGATACAGTTTTTTCCTTACCGAGTGGTACACCTCAAAGAGGAAACTCGAGAAATCTACGAATTTGGGAATGAATTTCTAGGCCGCAGATACGCGCATCGGTTTCGACTTTGGAAAATTCGAATATTTTTCCGACCGATTCATCTCGAATGAAAAAGAGGAACGCGGTTCGAATCGATCCCTCGGTCGGTATGTTGGGGTGCATAGCGCGGCCGCCAATCTGCATACGCGTACGCATTCTGTGCATGGCAGCCGACCGGAAGCAGGAATGGCTGCCTGCATTCGCACTGTATACGTGTAGATGAGCTACGTTTCCTGCACGGGGCTACACGCGCAATACAACGCCACAATCGTAACGTAACGCCGTACCGTAAAGTTTACCAACGGTCGGATCGTTGAACGATCATCGTTCGATAGTTTACGTAGCGGTAGGATAAGGTAGATTCGCGGTCGTGGAAGAATGCACGCGCTGCTGGATACCGGCGCGTGTACTATGTATCGCACGCATGCGTGCGCACGCGAATAGATTCGTAATAGAAGCACGACGCGTGCCTCTACGCTTTTCTGTTTAACTCTACTCTCTCCAACGATCCGTGGTTAATTGTGTTTCGACTTGTCCGTCGAAACGTTAAGTGATTCGAAGTGAGGTTAGAATTATACATTATATAATTATATAATTATATAGGTGAATCATTCTTCGATTCCAGAAGTTTAATCCATTGATAGAAACGAAATTGGGAAAATATTGTAAAGTAACGAGCGAACACAACAACACGATACAAGTGTATTCTTCTTTCTCTTTCTCTCTCTCTCTCTCCATCGTGAATTGGTGTAAATTTGGAATTCGTCCTTCGCGGAGAAATATATCATGCGAAATATCGTCTCTAACGGCGGTTCCACTTGGACGGCAATCGACGACTGCGCCTTTCGCCGTTTCAAAGACGAGAGCCATAATTCTCGCCGGGACAAACGAGCAACCGAACGGTATTCGAGTATCCACCGAGTTATCGAGTGAATGGAGTCAATTAATTTCGACGATGGAACAAAGCCTCAATTTGGAGGGAGAATCTAGGTAATTAGCCGCGCTTTATCGATCACCCGTTATTGGCCGCACCACGCTCCCTCACGGAGTAGGGAAACGGCGACAACAACGGCCACGAGAGAGCGGCCACGATGGCGACGGTGTGATCCACGGTCACAAGTCCCGGGTCAGAACAACGTTAATGCAATAAGCAATGCTCACCTCGCCGGATCCTCTGTGTGAATTATATTAAGTGGAAGCGTCTATCTGCGGATACCAGCATGTTTGACTCGGTTGTAATTGGATTTCGCGACAAGCGGCGATAGGTAACGACAGATGAGCCAACCTCAAACCACCGAGCTTCCAATTCGAATACGGACTATTCCACTCTCTTCTGTTAATTATATTTTATGAACACTCCATCCGTAGCGCGATTCTATAGAGAGAGAGAGAGAGTGCATCGTCTATTTATTTATGATATTTCGTTATACCTCGAATAATATCCAATAAGTAAGTAAGCATTAAGTTTATTCGTCAAAGAGAGACTCGAAACATTCAAGAAGGGTTTGTGACCCGCGAAAGAAAGAGGAATTCTTTCTCGAGTTTCAGACGGACGAAATCCTCCCCCAGTAGAAGTAGAAGAGTATCCACTTTCCCTCGACAATCGAGAAGAGTCACTCGTACGGCTATTATCGATTGTCACCGACCGTTCGAGTGTCTTTTACGAAACGCTCCCGCGTTGAACGCGGTTAGATGGTCGGAGCAAAGGCTTCGTATTCGGCCTTCCCTGTGTGATCGGCCGATTCTTCGACCTCGCGATGTCCCCCCTCCTCCTCTTCCCATGTTAGATCGAAAGGTAAGTAATAGAGGTTGTGGCGCAAGAGGGGGAGTGGCGAGGCGAACGATCTCTTAAAAAAGAAGAAAAGAGGAAAGGGAGAGGAAAAGAAGAGAGAAAGCTATTCTCTACATTTGTAATCGAAGTCGGAACAAAGGCGGCAACTTACTCGGGGGGAGGGGGTTGGAGTACCCTATATACACAGAGTCTTCATCGTTCTTTTGCGTCGTGTGCGCTATCACCGTTTCTGCCAACACCACCGTCACCACCATCCCTATCACTTTTATCGGTGTACTCGTGTGCGCTTCTTCCCCCTTTAAGTGTTCCCACTCGTATACCCTCACGCACCTTCTCTCCCTTTCCTCGGCCATTACGGATACGTGGCACACGTACGAGGGAACGCAAAGAACCCTTCCGTCTCCCTTCTTTCTTCGATCGTGCCAATTGAATTGCATTACCGTTTGATCAGCGATCGATTCCTTTCCTCTTCTCCGCTCCGGGTCCGAGAATGACTTTATACGGCGCGCTCGCGAATAAAGTAAAGGAGAAATTGGCCGGCGAGCCGTTAGGATAGGCGTACCGCCCTTTCCAATCCATTCCGTGCTCGCTTAAACCTCGATCGAGATCCCCTCGACCAGATTTATCCTGTCCTCGGAAAACGGAAATATATTCTTTCTTTTTACGATTTTTGCGAGGAAACGAATCGCCTAGCGAACGGATACACTATTGGCCATGAATTAACTATATACGAAATACATATACGGGAATAATATAAGGAATTTTTAACGAAGATTAGAAGCTTTAGCTGGTAGATCTGTAGGAGCCGCTCTATTAATCTCTATTTCAGAGGAGAATTTTTGCAATTTTTGCAATGGTGATGCGATCGGATCGAGGAATCGAGAGTGCGAAAAAGAGGGAGGGAAGGATGACGGTGTTCCATCTTGATTTCTTTCAAAGAAACGGGCGAAGGAAGAATTTCGCGGTGAAATTCCGCGGCGGAATCGTGCGTTTTCAGGAGAAATCGCCGGTTCGTCAACGGCTGTCATCCGGTCGAAAGTTTACCCGCGGCGTTACATTTTGATTAAATTCCGAGCCACCATGAAATTCTGATTCCTTTGCAAATGGATTCACCGCGTTTGCGACCGTTCTCTCTCTCTCTCTTTCTCTCTCTCCCTCTCTCTTCAGTTATACCGCGCGACAACAGGTCGTTCGCCGATCAAACCCGGTAAAATCCGGTTAAATATTTTCGCCCCCTGGCTCTCTCGTTACGAATTCTCGAACGAGCAATCGAACGAGCCTCTACGCGCCCACCATTTGACTCGAAATTAAATTTTCGACCGAGGTTAAATTTCCTTTTCACTATCGTTCTCCGCTATCTTTCTCTTATCAAATAAAATTAGTTAAATTTCTGACAGTTTTTTGTCTTATTACAAATTATTGGAAAAAGGAGAAAGATGGAAAATAAAAAAAGCGCACGTCGTCTCGGGACAAGTCGTGCGAATCCAAAAATTTTGAGAATTTATTTCGAAAATTTTCTGCCAGTTTTATTGCATCGAGAGCGAGATTCGGATACTCTCGTAGTGGCATTGTCCATTTGCGAAAAAAAAAAAGAATAAATAAATAAAAATAAAAATATTTTCGAGAGTAATTTTTTGAGAGTTTTGCTCTCGAACGTATTTGCACCTACAGGAAAATTATTTTTCAGGCATTGCGAGTGAAAATCACTGTCGGATGTAATATTGTTCACTTAAAAAAAAAAAAAATAAATAAATAGATAAAAAGTACTCTCGAAAGTAATTTTCCAGAGTTTTGCTCTCGAAAATGCATTCGATCGAAAATTTTTTTTCTGACATCGAAAATGAAAGTCATTGTCAGAGATTCGCTCTCATAACGTTGTCCACAAAAAAATATTCAACAATTTTTTGGAGCAATTTTTCGCCTTCAACGTATTTTCATTCATAGTTGATGAACTTGAATCGTTGAACGGACAAAGAGAGAGGGAGGAAGAGAGAGAGAGAGAGAGAGAGAGAGAGAGAGAGAGAGAGAGAGAGAGAGAGAGAGAGAGAGAGAAGAGTAGCGTAATAATAGAACGGAGAGCGAAGAGGAAGCGCATCCTGGTATTCTATTAAGATTTACGAGCGGTCGTTTGAGAGACACTGGTCAACCGGAAACTAGGTTCCACGCGTTGTAAGAGCACCGCGGTTACCCTGAATATGTATGTGGAGCACATATGCACGTATGTGCATCAATACTTCCCATCGATTCGACGGGGATGGTCATTGCATTTCAATAACAGGAACATGGATGGGTCTCGTCGCTTTTGTCCGTGAAAGTCAAGGATCTCTGATCCTTGGATATTACGCGCCTTATATAGAATGTGAAAGATCAATCGAGGCTTTCGTTCGATGGTATCGGCGTTTGCTCGTTTCTTCCTTTGAAATTTTTAATCAATTTCTCTCTGTCCCTCGAGTGAGGTTTCCACGAAGTTTTCATTCTCAAAATTGATCGAATTTTTTTACACCTACATTTTTTATACCTACCGTAATTATTAAAAAATAATAATAATAATAATATTCTTCGCAAATGATTTAAAACAACGCAACTTCCCTATCCGCGATGAATATATTTTCATTTTCATCGCGTGAAATTATAATTATAATGAGAACGTTTCCATTTTATCATTTTACAACGACGCATTAATTCAAACCATGTTTAGAATCCGAGCAACCATTGCCAAACACATCTAAATAAAAAAATATATATATATATATATCTGCTCGTACCGTAATATTCGTACAACGAGCAATGTAAATATATTCCATCAAACTTATCCGACGTCGATTAATTGAAAAATATTGAAAAAAGAAGAGAAAGAGAGAGAAAGTAAAAATATCGTAGAGCGAAACGATATTGATGAAAACAAATGACTCGGGAAACGTATACTCGGGATAAAATTGATCGCAAAAAAAAAAAAAAAAAAAAAAAAAAAAAANAGCGTTACGTTCGCGAAAATTCTCTTTTTTGCCACGCGTTCACACTTCGCGTAACAATTTACATCCGAGGCTGCACCGAGTCGAGGATGTAATTTCTCGGACGAGGGGCGATTCGTTGACGCGATAATTCGGTATCAACCTGGGCGGAAAGTTGGGAGCGAAATTTTACAGCGCCGGATTAATTTATAGTTGTAATAAACCGTGCAAACAATTTCGATGTTGACGTACAACCGATAATGAGTGGAACGTACACGTTTAATCGTTATTCCACGGGAAAATAAACTATCCGTTCATGCTATTTTCCGCCCGACGTATCGCTAACGAATCGCTGATTTCCCATGCGGTTTTGCGGCTCCGTTTGTTTTCGAGGGTTGGGCTTATACGGAAATACAGCCCAGCAAAGCAATAATTTAATTTCGACTTAAAGAGGCAGAGATCAGGTATTTTTCTAACTACAATCCTTACCATGGAAATTCTTCCTTTCCCTTTTTTATTATAGAGATAATTTGTATCCGCGATGAATTTTCGTTCAGAAAGTTTGACAAACGATAAATTTGAAAGAGATTTGAGATAAGTTTTAGAAATCGAAGAATGCTACTTATAATTTCGCGAAGAATTTCGGAAAAAATTTCGTAAAGAGATAAATCTCGCTCGAAGAGGGGAACGATTGCGAAATTGCATTCGCCCGGATATCTAGAGAACGAATTTTTACTTAACTCGAAACTATTAAAAGGAAGAAGAAGAAGAAAAAAGATAAATAAATCATAATATAAACACGCGAAATCGAATATAAGCAGGGGAAAAACGGAAGTTTATATCCGAAAGATAGAGAAATCCTTCATCCTGCGAGGAATAATATCAAGGTAATCCTTTCGAGCAACCCCGAAAATTGCTTTCTCGGTATTCGGGAGATGCGGTGACGAGCGGTTAAAGGGAAATGAAATCGCGAAGAGTAAGGGAAACAGCTTGATTAAAGGACGTCATTTATATATATATATATATACACGTATTTGTGCGCTTCCAAGCGGAGGGCCAAGAGGTCGAAACAAGGTTTACACATCTCCTCTCTCTCTCTCTTATTCTCTCCCCCTTCCTCCTCCTCCCCCTCGTTGGAGCAAACAAAACATCTGCGCTTACAGGGGAGGAAACGACGATAGTTTGCGCCCCGCTAAGACGCGTTTATCCTCGTGGGAAGGGGAGATCCGTTCGGATACGTTTCCCTCCAACTTGCTCCCGTACTCACCTAGTAGCCAGATCCCTGTGCACGAAGTTCAAATTCTCCAGGTACCGCATGCCCGACGCGATTTGGGCCGCCATGTAGATGAGACAGTTGAAACTGAAACGAGGGAACAACGGCGTGAGTCGCGAGAGGGCAAAGTTAAGGGGCGTGAGATTGCACAAGCTTTCGGGTTTGCCGATGGGAGAGACGAGGCGATCGGAGGAGAGGGAGGGTTCGTGGAGAACCGGCGATGGAACGCGAGGGGAGGGGGAAGAAGGAGGGGAGTAACTGTCGCTCACGATTAATAAACGCTTCAAACTCGGATAGCTCGGTAGAAAGTTATCGGGTGTTAACTTCGCGACGTCTCGCCACACCGGATGAAACTAAATCTGAGGATGACGAAGCCTCACCCCCCCGTATTTCGCCGTGGTAATTATTGAAATTCTCGCGTTTTGATTAATAATTTTCGCGCGCCCCTTCGAGATCCCTTTCCTCTACGCGAAACGTCTTTCGACGGTCGCTTTCGAAAGTTAGTGAAATATCTCGTTCGCGTGGGAAAACGCGTGACAAAATTCGTTTTCACGGATAACACTCACCTAAGCGTTTTGACACCGATCGGCATGGAATGGGCGTCCTCGGCAGTGATATGCGTCTTGAGGAATTGACAGAGGTCGCCGTGCTCCAGGTACTCCATCACCACGCAGTACGGCTCCTCGCGGTAGCAAGCTCCCAGGACTCTGGCTATATTACGATCCTCGAGGGCGGCCAGGATCCTGACGTCTCGTTGGAAATCCAACCTTGACAGATCCATAGGATTTACAAGCTCGTAGCTCTCCCCGTTATCCCATCCAAATATCTCTCGGCTCGTTTCGAAATAAAAGATTTTCCTCCTCCAATTCGACATCTTCTTTTCTTCCCAACCGTAATCCGTAACATTCGCCAAGTTCGCAATTCGTGTACGTAAACGGAAAGTTTGCGCGGCGAAAAAAGAAGAAAAGAGAGAGAGAGAGAGAGGGAGAGATAACAAAGAGTGGAATCCAGCTTTCGTAAAAGGCTCGATTCAATTTTGCATCGAACGGGGGAAAGGAAAGGAGATCGTTGTTACGGCTAGATGGAGCCCATTGCTCGGCTCGACAGTGTCCGTTGCGCGAGATAATCGTAAAATTTTCGTAGAAAAGTTTCGACGTTTCGTCCGTTCCATCCGCGGGGGACTAGAAGAGCGCGAAACGAGCGCGTCTGTCGCTTCCTTCGCGCCGATGGAAAATCCCCACTTTCGCGTCGTTTCCACGCAGCGCTACGCCGTTACTTCGCTTACTTACTTACGATCCACTCGGCGGATGGCGCACCAGCGCGATAGCTTGTTGCGGCTGTTAATGAAACTACTGCGTACTCGTATCGACTCCCTCGTAAATTCTAGCGAATTCTAGCGCGTGGGCGCCGCTTGCCAATTCTTTCCTCGACGAGTTCGAACCGTGTTAATTGCACCGTGTCCTTGCACTCGATTTATCCGCTTCGCGGCGATAAGAGACGGCGATTAATTTTTCCTATGAATATTCATGCGGGATAAGAAACGTAATGATGATGGTGATGAGAGATCGAGCGAATGGGCGGAGCGAAAACGTTGCGAAAATTTTTTTTCGAACAAAGCCGGATACCGTCTCGCGCATATCGGTACACGGTAACGGCGTTACAACAAAGCTCCGCAAAAAGATAGGAGGAAAGGTTAAGTAACGAACGAAGTGGGAGGGGAGGAAAATAAAAAGAGTATCATTTAGAGAGAAAGAGAGGGAAAAACGAAATTAAATTTCATCGAAACATAAAAGTTGGAAATTCCCGGTGTTTGTTCGTTAAAATCGGTAGCATTGTTGGAGCGTTGGGCCGGCCGGTAGCGGCTAGTCGGGGTTACACGTATCCCGCGAAAAATGATTGCGATTGTTAACAGAGAGGAGGGAGGAGGGGGAGAGAGAGGAGGGAGTTGGAAAAACTCTGCTCAATAATGAAACGAAATATGAAACGATGGTAACGTTGGCAAAGGGTGCCCCGGTGTCGGCGGGATCGACGGGGAACGCGCGGACGCGATTAAATCATATCCTCGTATCCGGGGGATTCGATCGAAGAATTGAACGCGCAATGGGTATTTTTAACGAGGAACGCAACGTGGTAGGGAGGAAGGTTGGCCGGATCGTTATTTAGCGTTATTTCGGACAGAAGAGGCGGAGGGAGAGAGGGAGAGGGGGGGCAAGGGATTCGATATCGCGGCTCGCCGCGATATCGAGGCTATAATAACGCATAAAACATTTCCTTATCTGCAACGAGCAGGATCTTCCGTGAATCGATAGATCGGTGCCATTGTATGTATATATATATGTGTGTGTGTATGTGTGTGTGTATATGTATATCTGGATCGGTTCGAGGATCGTTAAACGTCGTCTTGATTTTGCAAATTGGAAGATTGGAATCTTGGCCCATGTTTTGTCCTCGGATGGAGGAGGAGTGGGCTGCTACGAAGGAGACGGAAGGAGGCGGAGATGGAGAAGGAAATGGAGCAAGTTCCAGCCACGATAGGGGCGCGATAAGTCATCCTCTCGGCGGGAGACTTGTTGCGTGAGCAGAAGGAGCCGTGGAAGCCACGGATCGGATCGGTTCCCACTTTTTTTTTATTTACGACGCTGCGCGCGGCCCCCCTCCCCTCCCTGAAACGTCGGTATTTACACAAATCACGATAAAGCGGAACGGCAGGATTACATTAGTAGAAACGATCGTCTTGATCGATAAATCGTGTACGCGTCGCCTTTGCATCTCGACCGGGAAGAGTTTCGAAATAATTTCTTACGTCCAGCTACTCGAACCCGTTTTCGATTCTTCCGCTATTTCCAATATTGGAATCGGCTTTGAATTAATCCGTATCATTCAAAAATTCATTTTGATGATCTTATATAAAAGAAATAAAAGAAATGAAATCTGTTATTTTTATCGGTTCTTCCGTTAAATAACGTGATGTTTTATATCAAAAGCCGTGGAGGCACGTGTGTTTAAACGCGTGTTTCGTAAGATTTACACCAGAATAAACTCTACGTAATCTACCACTTTTACCACTTTTTCCTCTCTTCCCACGAATCTAAAACAGGAATCAAAAATCCTCGCTATACCTAATACCGATCACGCCGATTTTGTCAACGATCTGGTCGAATTCCTCCTAAAAGTGTTCGAGATGAAACTTTATCCCGTTCGCGCGACGTGCAACTTTCCTCGACGACAAAAGATCTACGAAGAATGGACGTTGCCCAAACGATTTTTCGTTTCGGAAACGAGAGCTTTGTCATCCGTCCCCGGCGGCGAATTCGTACCTTCCTCCTCGCCCTTTCCCTCCGTCCAACCACCCTCCGATCCCTGTTCCACTACTACTAGCCACGAACTCGCGGCCAACTCCTCTCGATACCCCTCTATCTCCCCCGGTCATTGTATGCAAATCTATTTCCATTCGAGGATATCTAACTTGCCTTTTTCTGATGTCTAGCTTGATAGCCGCGAGAACGATCTCCCTCGCCGGTATATCCGGACGTTTCACCGCCAGTGGGGGTTTCCTCTATAGAAACGAGAGAAGAAGCTGGTGGAGAAGCTGGTGGCGGCCCCGAACCGGGAGGAAACCGGGACACACACATTCGGGAAGAAAGTCGCTATGAATTTTATGCAAGGGACAGCTATTCCGCTCGACCAACGATCGCTCGATGCATTCGAAATCGGCTCGCATCACGACCCACCGTTACTTCTTGTGCACGGTCAGCCAATGGATTCTATTCGTATTGCGTTATGCTCTTCGATCATTGTGTGCGTTGCGTGTATGTGTGTGTATGGGTCTCGCGGTTAGCCCCGATATGTAGGATCGTTCCTGCTGCCATTTACCGTTTTCTTCTTCTTTTCTCTCTCTCTCTCTCTCTCTCTCTCTCTGGAGTTTTCATTGGAGAATAGTTGTTCAAGTTTACGTGAAAAGTAGTTGGAAACGCGTCTCCCTTCCTTACATAGGAGGAGGATAAATAACAGTTATTTAGTAGGAGGAGGCTCGACATTTTTATGGAAATTTTAATATACGAAATTCTACCATTTACTGCTTCGTGAATCATCCGCGATGTAAAGATGGATAGCCGCGAGTTATTCGAATTATTTCGAGCTCTCCCAGTGATTTAAGCACGCGTGTTATTCGCACGTGCTTCCATCTTTTCGCGTTCTTTCTTTACGCGAGATTTCTTCGCGAGTCGAGTCGAATCGAACGAGGAAAAAAACACTTAAGTCAGACAAATTTTATATATATATATCGTTAGGATTAAAAAAGAAAAAAAGGTGAATCTCGCCAAGCTTGCCCTCTTTGCTCCCCGTCACCGATACAAAACGATCGTTCGAGGAAAAAAGATTGGAAGAAACGAATCTTGCGTGAAATTACGTAACCGCGTGCCGGTTCCTTTTTTCCTTCCTTCTTTCCCTCCTTCCTTCGGTCGTAAAATGTTTATCGGAGGGGAAGCTCGATCGAGGCCGTTGCAACGTCGAAACGGAATGCAAATAACGGCCGCCATACTCACTTTTCTTTCTCGCTGGCTTCCGGCAGTAAAAATTTGACGGCGACGAGACGCTTGCCCAGGGTGGTCGTCGTTCCGTACTCCGGGATCCCTTCTGCTTCCGCCACGTACACCTTTATGGGCATAATTTGTTTACGTTTTTACACGGGAATCGTTTTCGGTCGGAGAAGAATCCACGAGGAAAAATTCCCACGAAGCGGGGGATCGGGGGAACGCGTTTATTATTATTATACGGAAAAATAAAAGTCCAGGGAGGGTAAAGGATCCTCGTCGGGGTTATAAATTCCTCTAACGAGAATGGATGAATCCACGAATTTGATTATTCGTCGTTCGGACCAATTTATCGTGTAAGTTTTAAACGAGGATATATATACATGTACTATGTACGTGCGTAGGTACGCGATGGTGGGAAAGGATTCGACCGGAAGTCGGATGAGGGAACGCGAGATACTTTTTAAGATGAGTGCGTTTTCGATCGAGGCACTATAATATTTCTTATCATGTATTGTTCGTTGCTGAAAAAGAAAAGTCTCGTGGAACAGGGGACGTTTTGTTAACAATCCTGATGTCACATATTATATATATAGTATTATATATATAGTAATAGAATAGTTACAATTTTCATTTAGGAAATTATGTTAGGATAAGTAATAATGTTACAATTATTATCTTGACTACTTGAACACGAAATTACATTTATAAATTAAATTATCGTATATACAAATTATAATTAGCTAATATTTTTATATCGATGCGTTTTCCAAGATCTTCAAGAAAGAGACTTCTTTCCAGCAACGAACGTACATTATACTCGATATGATTAAAAGTATCATTTGTAAATTGACTTGATTAAACGTATTAAAAATTCTGGATAATTTTACAATCACTTCGAGATCGTAAACGTAATCATCACAAAGGAGCGATGATTCTCTCTTCTCAAATGTGTTCCAAATATCTTCGATATGGAGAAGGAGCATCGAAATTTCGTGCCAACATGTCAGCACGTCGTCCACGCGTCGCCGTTGGGTCAATCCTGTGCTCGATTCACTGCCCGAGATCGATTGTCAAGGCGATCTTCGAAGGGCGCGTAACAACGCATAGCTCCTGGCCCTGGAAACTCGAACCAGGGAAGGGAGGCATCCTCTTGGCCATTGATCATTAACGGCCGGGACAGGAAACAAAAGGGAATTATTAGCCGCTCTAAACTGCATTCTAAACTGATTATCCTCGACGAGGTGGACGAGGCGCCATTGTGATCGGCGAAGAATAACAGGGTGGACACTTCGTTAATCGACGTATTGTCGGACTTCGGCCAGTGGGCGAATTTTCCCAGTCAACAAACGGATTGATTTCTCTCTCTCTCTCTCTCTCCCCCTCTCCCTCTCCCTTTCCCTCATTAATTCACTTTCTCATTCGATCCTCTCTCTCTCTCTCTCTCTCTCTCTCTCTCTCTCTCTCTCTCTCTCTCTCATTCTATCCTCTCACTCTCTCTCTCTCTCTCTGATGATCATCGACCAAAATGGAGCGTGCGTTTGCCGAATCGATGGGGAATCGTGGGCCACGACGCGTGTATCTGTCGTCTGTCGTAGTCGATTCGATCGTGGCCAGGTAGATAGGGCTAGGAAGAGCATCGTCCGGTTCGCAATATCGGCCGTTTGTAATTTAACCCCCGCGCGGCTCGATGCTATTTCAGTAGGTGTTTCCGTTGCTCCGCATTAGCTGGGGTAAAGCGACACTTTGCAAACACCGAGTGTATTATGATAATGTTGCGGGGATCGCGTGGAGAGAGCTACGGTTTGACGTTACAACGCTCCCTCGATGACGTGGAGAGTGGTGTACAGCGGTGGAAGACGGGAGGAGATGGCTAATCTCGCGATTCGCTGCGAACGCGGGGTTGACGGAGGTTGATGGAGATTGGCCGGAGACGTTAAATTTTATATTTTAGGTTGTTTCTTATTGTTAGTTATAGTATATAGTTATTTGGATTTTTGTTTGCTCTGTTTTAACAGTCGTATCGTTTCCGTTTAAAATTTTCATTCGTTGGAGGATAGGATAGGACAGGAGGACGATAGTCTCTCTTTTATTCGGTTTCGCTTTAACGGGTCCTCCTCCGGTTTAATTATATTTTCGTTACGAAGCCTCTGGAGGGTAAATTAGAAAACTTTATAAAGGAAATTTCAAATGAACGAGTAAAGATGTTCCTCGGGTTTTTAAATGAAAGGAGGAGAAGTTAGGAGTGTAAAGAATTTACACTCGAAACTTCCTTTCTTAATGATGAGAAATGTAATCCAATCTTTATATATATATATATAAACAAACGTAACGAAAAAACGTAACGTACATTTTTTTATTTTACTCTCGACCGATCTTTCGAGTAAATCGGCTCGATTCGCTCGATCAACTACCGATTCAACGCGGAAGTTCGGTGAAGAACCGATTAAGAGAGCGTCTACCGCGGGAAATCGGAATGGGAGCGAAAGTGGAGGGCAGCAGCCTGTTCTAGTTCTGCTCTAAAGACGATAATAAACGTGAACACGGTGGTAATCCTTTATAGACGGGGACGTGACGAATCGTCTTCCCCATGTCTAATTTAAAATAGATATGCGCGCGGACGTAATAACAATGTCGTTACCGTTCCGAACGCCCCTTCGGCGAGTTTCGAGAGCATGCGGAGGCGATGCCGTGGGAAGAGCGGGACGCTCGTCTGCTCCAGACGTCTCTTCAGGGCCGAGAGCACCTCCTGTTGAGTCGGCGACTGGAACAAGGAAAGAACAATGCATCGTTCCTGGTATCGCTTCGATAATCAACGATCTATGATCACGCTAGCCGAGGCAACACGAGCGGGAGGAGGGGGTGGGTTTCAAGTGGGGGCCGGAGGTGAATTATTCCTCGCGATGATCGATGAATTACCATCGCCCGTGTACCACCGACAGACTTAAACGATAATTTAAGTGGTATAAAATCGAGTCTATAAATTAAAGTCGTCGATCCCATCCGGTCGATATTTCTAAAAACTATGCGATATCGGTGAGATATATGGATGGACATATTATTCAATAATTGTTTTATCGAAGATATATATTTCACGAATAATATTTTTAATAATGGTTTGCATAACAACATCGAATAGAAGAGTGAAATAGTGAAATAGTGTAGGTAATAATACAATTGCAAAATAATTGATTGAAAATATTCGCCGGATCGAATCGGTGAGGAAAACTTTAAATTCTTATTTAAACAAAGTTTTATAATTAACAATTTTTCACCATCCTATAAACACGAACTATAATACACCCAAAACTGTATCGATCAAAGTATCCACGATAATCGATAATCACAACTCCGAACCAACAACTTTCAACTCCCTCGTCGTCGAAAAATCTATTTTGAATAATTTTCGCGAATCGTATATAAACCGTATAAACGCTCGTTCATCACACGATCGTTCACCATCGATACTCTCTGTATTCACGTTAAAACGCGCATTGTTGCCGATGCGAAATGACGTGAACGAGCGGTGGGGGAAGAGAGAAAGAGAGAGAGAGAGAGAGACGGAAAGAGAGATAAAGGGAGCGAGAAAAAGAGAAATCGCGACGAAAGGACCAGTCGAACGTGACGGGTATAACATTCGACACGTCCCATTGTAAAACTGCATCGAGCCACCCGATAACCCCGATGCCACGATGTTTTCGGAGGACGGCCGTTTTGGTCTAATGACGGATCGCGCGGGGACAATGATTGGCGTCGCTACGATGCGTCAAGGCCAGGCTCGACGAGCCACCCCGAAATGTTTTGACTGTTTCGAGTGGCGCTGTCGGCTGTCAATCACGCGCAGACGTCTCGACGTAGACGACCACTTTCGCAGCATTGTGCTCCGATCAATCTGGATGCCGCGCTCCGTGCAAAATCGCCCGATCTCCCACCGATATCTATTCGCGAAACGGTGAAACGGGCTTCGCCTTTGAATTTGATGCAACTTTCACCATTTGTCGTTTCCTATATACACATAGTCAAGAGTTCAAGAGTCGGCCGTCATTTCCATTTACGTTAAGTTCAGGAAGGAAATTTTTCAACTCGAGGAACTCGCTCTACATTTCCTCCCGATCGATCTTCTTCTTCGTGATCCGGTAAAGATATCGAGGCAAAGGATCCAGAGAGCATCGGTATTCCCGGAAAATACAGCGAATAAATCACGCTACAAATTTGCAGCGGCGTATTTTTATTCCATCAGATCGCGGCTGTGCGATTTAGGGCGCAGCTTGTCGAATCTACTCCTCTCTCTTTCTCTCTCTCTTTATCTATCTTTTTCTCTACGTGTAATATTTCTGCGATGTCGGCACGCGAATCGGCGGAAATCGAGGGATGGGCGAGCGTGCGGGAACAAAAGTGAACGAGAGAGAGAGGGGACGAAGAGAAGAATACAAGAGAGAGAGAGAGAGAGAGAGGTGGGAGATAGGATCGCAAACGTGATTACACGACGCGCTTTCTCTCCGCAATTAACAGAGCGAACTGGCCCGGAAGCCAGCGGACCGCGTAATGATGATACATTCCACGAGGGTCGCCCGCGAAAAAGGGTTCGACGCAAACTCCCCGTTGACGGGAGTTCGTTTATACGTCGACGAACCGATCAATCGAATGATTCTGCAGATTGCGCGGAAACGTTGCTGAATACGCGCGAATACTTTATTTGTTTGCCGGCCTCTCCTCTACTTGTTACGCGTAAACCTCCCCTCCCTCCCCCGTTGCCCCGCGGATAATTTCCACCCGTTTCTACTCGTTTTTACAGCGAGAGATCTGGTGTCAGGATAATTCGTGTCAGCTTCGTTCAAATGTCGAGTTATATACGAGATATACGAGTTTCTCTTTTTCAAGAGTTCGTTCAACTCTTATTGTATTATTCACGTTGTTCGTCGTTGAAAAGAAGGATAATTCTTCGGTAAGAATAGAGCATGTCCCCTTAAAGATCACGCTCTTTCCCTTGAATATTCAAAATCTAGTGAATCGAGGGATTCTGTTTTACAAAGAGTAATTATTTTATGAAAAGTTCGCGTCCCGATCAGACATTTCTTTTCTCGACGAGAACGAGTAGTAATTATTTTAACGCATCTTATTTACACGAAAAATTCAACGGAGTTCGAATCTCGCGTGCAATATCGATATTATCAACCAATTCCGTGGAAAGGTGGCGTTATCGATCGAAAAAGCTCTCGTATTGACCTTTTGCTCGCGAATCGTTGATTTTTTTATGCCAAAACGGAACCCTGGGGAACGTCTCGCGCGTTTGACGTCGACGGTGCGTACCTCCTCCGTTTTTTTCCCTCCTCCCTTTCTCTCTCTCTCTCTCTCTCTCTCTCTCTCTCTCTCTCTCACTCCTCTCGTTTCATCCACCCTCACGTTCCGGTATTCCGGATACGAGGTACGTTATACTGTACCCACGGGAGGTATATCTACCCCAAATGGTCTGCACTCGTTCCGCCATATTGATTTAAATTATTAATCGCCAACTTTCCCTCGACGAATGGAGTGCACGTTTAATGGTCACTGCAGGAAGCACAAGTACATTCGGATGGGCGGGGCCTTTCACCATTTATTCATAGATCGAAGCGATAACAAAAGTTGAATTTTTGCGCGTCCGACTTTCGTTTACTTTACTCGTCCTCGATCGATTACGATTACGATTATTTCCCCCCATTCCATCCGCCGTTTTATTCCCCGATACGCTCCCCTCCCCCCTCGTATCCTTCACTTTGCATATCTTCGCGTCGCGAAATCGAATTAGAGTTTGCATATCAAAGATCCATTTTTGAGGAGGGCAGTTTGAGAGAGCACGTTATGAAAATGTTTGCAAATATCGTTACGTCTCATATTATCTCCCCGCTAATAAATATTACGATAATCTGGCCGGCTGTTTACCTGCCTGTTTATTCAACTTCTCAACTTTCTGAAAACTTGAATTCGCTTCCGTTTAAATTTCGAAATACACGGTGGGTAAAAATTATGGACAATTATATGGCTGGTTATAAACGTCTCGGCCTCGAATCGTCAACTCGTTATTAACTCGTAATCTTATTATTGCTTGGAACGCTGTGCCAAGTACGGATAAATAATTTAATCCTCTCCTCTAGAAAATAGAGTTCCAATTTACGCAACGTTCACTGAATTTCGTTTGTATAAATTGTGCACGAAAGTTCGTTACATACGGGCAACGTTTACTTTTTCCCCTATATCGGGAACAGCAACGTTTTCTGACGCAATTCGCGTGAATTCGCTATTATTATTCTTCGCTTATCGATCCAAATTTTATCACTTTAATATTAATATTAGATTGCAAGACATGAAACGCGAAACTCGTAAACCTTAGTTAACTTATATTTTGCTTAATGTATTTTGACCTTGTCCTCTTATACTTTCTCTGTGTAATAACTTATTTTTTTGTACTATGTTTAACTGTGTTTTGAGAAATTGGAATATTATTCCTGTGTTAAGCTGAGTTTAAGCTGAGCCCAAGTGCAGTCGAAGCATATCGAAATATTAGGTTAGCTTTCGAAGAAGATTCTATCAATGAGAGGACCGTTCAATGGTTTCAAAAATTCGGATCTGGAAATGAGAATTTTGAAAATGAGTCCCGAGATAGATATTAAACAAAGATAAATTGAAAGGCAACGACAGTTTTCAGACATTTCGCTGCAATGGATAGAAAGTGAAAAAATTGGGGAAATGGATAGCGCACCGACTGACTGAGGATCAAAAATTGCCACGTTTCGAAGTGTGCTTATCGCATAAACCTGGTACAAGTTCATTTTTGAACTAGAATTATAACCCGTGAGAAACTATACGACATCGTACACGATCTGGACAATAATTGGACGCTAATGAAAATCCTGAACAACGTCGAAACCTTGATTAAGTCTGAAAAAATTCTATAAAGAGAATAATTCTCTTAATAGCTCTTTTCTGAAACGAGGAGATACCGTAACAACAGCATCCTACTGCCAAGAAATCGATTAAGAACCGCATACATCACAAAGCAAACTCTAAATATGAAATCTTAACCCATCCAGATAGATATTTCACCAACCAATCACCACTATTCGTTTCACTATTTACTACCCCTGTTTTTAAAAAATAATCTTAGCGTTCAAAGAATTTCTTCCCCCTGAAATTTTATAAAAAAAAAACATACCAATTAAAATCTCGTAGGAAAGATCGTTAAAGCCAATTCCCATTTCCGTATCGAACAAAGACCACAATTTCCTAAAACGGCAATTTCATCATACGACACGACCCTCTAAACCCTTCCTCAAAGCTGCACTATCACGAACGAACCACTCGTTAAACGTTTTTAAACACGTCTTGTAATTGATACTTCTCTCGGATAAATACACACGTACCTTCTTGTTCTCCGTCTTATTTCCGCGCGACGAGGTCTTGGAGAAGATGGTGTCCTGGTCGCTGGTGGCGGTGGAGGCGGTGGAGGCGGGTGGGGCGGGTGGGCCGCGTCCTGTTCCGTCCTGGTTGAGCAGGGGCACCGTGCCGAGTTCCGGTACCGCATAATCGTACGATGTGTCAACTGCACCATTCGCGTACACCGCTGCGGATGATATAGCAAAGGAGGAGGGGGAGGAGGAGAGGTCGAGAGAAGAGGGTGCAGGGGGACAGTGTATTGATTGCGGTCAGGCGAATGCTTTGTTGTTCGGTACACGCGTATACGTACCTCCATTTCGAACGTGTGCCACCCGTATATTTATACACGGCGTGCATATGTGTATATATATATATATATATATATATATATACACACACGCACACGCGTATATATATATATATATATATATATAGGTGGTAGGCGCGCACGTATGTACAAAACAACGCGAGGCGACCGTGTACCGGCATACCTGAGTGATTGATGTTGCTGCCCTTGTTGTTCAGCATCATGTCTTTCATCTCCATAACGACCGTGCTGTAGCTGTAGTACGGCGCGTACTTGAGGGCCTGGTACGGTTCTTGATAGTCGTCGAGTTTCACGATGTCCAGAAAACGATTCCCCAGGTCCCGAGGTAGCGTCGGCAGCGAACCACCGGCGTATCTGCGAGACGGAGAAGAGACACACGTTTCGGTGAGAGCTCGTCTGGGGATTTCCCTTATCTCGTGTTACCAGGGGATGGTGAGGGAAAAATATGAAAGAGTTTCGTGGGAGGCGTGGAAATGTGTAGCTTCTTCGTTTCTTTGACGGTGTGGAGGGGATGATAATTATAATATACGTACATATTATATTCGAGTTATTCGAGAATCTCGAACGAAGTTGAGACGTGGAAAAAATTCATCGACACATTTTCGCTATACTCTCGCTATATATTTGTACGTATAAGATACGTATCACAGAAATGAAGCTTAAATTCGCTTCTACTTTTCTTTCCAACCGCTTTAAACTGATAAGTAGCGTGCACTGTATCAGGTCAGACCCAGATTCGTATTTCGTGTATTTACTTACGCTCGACCGTGACCTCGCTCCACGGATCGTTGAAATGATATTTCGAAACTGTTGAGAGAGGGAGAGGCCGAGGGAGCTGGTCTTAAAGCGTCGTCTTTTGTAGACGACGAAAGTGCATCGTATTTCGAGTGGGTACTTCTTTTTCTCTCTCTCTCTCTCTTTTTCTTTTTTTTTTCATTCGAGTTTCAACTTAAGTGCGACGTCAGATATCCGTCAAAGGGGTGGTAAAAACGGGGCGGTACGCGCGCACACGAACCCGCTCCACTCCGTTTCCGCGAGTCCCTCCTCTTTTGATAGACGGTTGGATCGGCGATATCAAGTTGCGCAAAGCGCGAGGGCCAAGGTTGGGGGATCAACGTTGAAAACGTGATCGGTCGCGGCCGAGTCACGAGCGTTGCTTCGAGGATCTCTCTGGTCTGGAGACATTCGTGCCGCGCACAAACTCGATATATCGCCCGAGGATGCCCGTTATTGGACGTTATTGGACATCCACTAACGAGCACGACGGATGGAAAGTTTATTGGAAGGTGGCTTCCTGTCGTCGGCCATTGTGAATGGTTTGTAAAGTTGGGCAACGAGATGTCGGCCGGATCTCGTTTGAATATTTTCATAACCGAACAGTAGCCTGTTCGATTCGCCTCTGTCGTCGAATCATAATAC